GTTGTGTTTACGAGCAGTGCCAGAGCATGCTTTGTTGGATTGAAAATCCCAACTTGTGGCCAGCTTGTTTACAAAGCAGCATACATTTCAGAAAGTTTTATTTTGTGGCTTACTTCTCCAATAGTGCAAATAAACAGAAGTGTTTATACGCGGATCCAGAACAGAGGCAATCAGCATCAGCTCTGGTTTGACATCAACTCGTCTGTGTCAAACTGTGACCAGCAATAGTTTTCTTTCATTTTGCTTCTTTAGCAAAAAATGTCTGTAGGCACGTGTTACCATCCCGTGAGTTAACAAATATGTGTTACAGTTATGCAGCCAATAAAAAATATATATTATTAATATTTTTAAGTGTTTAACTCATACCATTAATTGGTTAAAAATGCACCCTTTTGGTTAACGGTTATTTTGAGCATCCCTAGAATGTAGGCATTTTGTGCAGAATGGACAATAAGCAAAATAAAATAATCTAATCAAAACTATTCTAATCATTCATTCATTTTCCTTCAGCTTAGTCTCTAGTTCAGGGGTCACCACAGCAAAATGAACTGCCAACTATTCTAGCATATGTTTTATGCAGCGGATGACCTTCCAGCTGCAATCATCATTTCCAATTTTAAAAGCTTACATTAGATTACTACTATAATAAACCAAGAGGGACAAGTGAATCTTCTGCTTTCTTCTGATGATTAAATGAATACCCCATGTGAATCGGCCCGCTTCTCTGTGCTCTTTGAAGCGGCCTTCCTGTGGTGTCTAACAAACACAGGTTGAGATTCTCCTTTATTCTCCAGCCGTCAGAGTCGAGTGGCTGATCAGCGAAAACCCAGACTGTGAGTCAGATTTTGTCCAAACTTCTACACCGTTACGGCCCAGAAATCATCCCTCCAAGGACAAAACTTTAGTCTTTATTTTGTTGGGCTCTCCTCACAGAAAACTTGAATCTCAAGGGAATTCATAAACAAAGAGGAAAAAACATTTAGTGTTATACTTCAGTAGAGCGTGGGTTTGCTCCACGCCAAACAAGCACTGTAAATTATCCATGGAAAGCGGACGCATTACAGGCTGTTCTGGGCCGGGTTTCCAGATAACGATGTGTCTTGGCCCTTATGAGCATTCTGTACGTGCAAGGTTATGAGCACTCGTTGCAAATATACATGCATTTTCCAAAAGTGCACATAAGATGATTGTTTGAGAAGTCATTCTCCATGCAATTAAGGGGTCGCTGTTCATTTCTAAAGTGCTGAAATATAACTTCATATGGAGTCATATATTGAACATGTAACCCTATAATCGTGATCTCTTTGAAGCATATATTTAGTTTTTTAAATAAATGTTGTGTTCAGTCATTTTATTTAAATGTGTATTTCTTTTAAATATATATATATATATATATATATATATATATATATATATATATATATATATATATATATATATATATATATATATATATATATATATATATATATAATTAATATATAATTAATATATAATTAATTTTATAATTATATATATATATATATATATATATATTAACCAATTTAAAAGATTAATATTGTGCATTTTCCCTGTAAAACACGCAGACACACACTAACATATATAGAGTGCTCAGCATATATAAGTACACCTCTCACAAATCTATCTTTTAAATTCATGTTTTTAATAGGAAGCTATACAGTAATATATTTGTGCATATACATTAGATTATACAGTACTGAAGAAATCTGGAGCTAATCTAACAAAATAACTTACAAAAAAAGGTCCAAAAACTATATAGCACACCCAAATGTATGTTATAGAAAAAAAAAAAAAAAAAAAAAAATATATATATATATATATATATATATATATATATATATATATATATATATATATATATATATATATATATATATATATATATATATATATATATAAAAATACAAATTTAAAACAGAGGAATACTCAAGAGAAGAAAAATATTAAATTTAGGTAAAATTTTGTTGGTTTTAATCAATGACTGTTTTTTTTTTTTTTTTTTGTGCAATATTTGCTTAAATTTAGTTGTATTTTCTTTACATTTGTCCCATGTCTGGTGACTAATATGTTATTTATATATATTATTATTTTAATACATATATCTGTTTATTAAATCTGTTTTGTTGAAATGCACCTAAATACATTGCCTATATTCACTGAGAAATTGATAAAAATATTAATTTTCAAAACAGGATGTACTCAGTTTTACTGAGCACTGTAACTTCTAAGGGACTGAAGGTAAGAACAACTCATGCCCCATGCACTTTACTGCACTATTACTGCACTAGGACTGTGCCTTTTTGTTTATTGTTGATGTTTTTGTTTATTTGTTCTATATATATATCACCATATATCTACCAAACAAATTTCATTAAATAAAAATTACAATGAAAATAACGTTCTAATGTCTAATAATAGAAAATCTTTAATTATAATCACACTCCATATATGCAATTATTTTTGGGGCATTAAAACAAAAAATATAAGTTTGGTCACCTAAACTTTATAGGATAATACAATTGAATCGAAGCTAGTTATTGGGGAGCACTTTTTTTTGAAAGTCCCTATTGCACATTTTGTTGACTACATGCCAATTACTTCTCATTAGAGTATTAGTAGTCTAC